CGTAGTCGTAGTCGTAGTCGTAGTCGTAGTCGTAGTCGTAGTCGTAGTCGTAGTCGTAGCCGTAGTAGTAGTAGTAGTAGTAGTAGTAGTAGTTGTTGTTGTTGTTGTTGTTGTAGTTGTAGTTGTAGTTGTCGTTGTAGTAGTAGTAGTATTAGTAGTTGTTGTTGTTGTTGTTGTTGTTGTTGTTGTAAAAGGTTGGCATCAAGAGCCAGGCTGCTCCTGTAGGATTCCATAAACGATGGTCGTGATCTCATAAGCTCTGCCATACCCGGCAAGTGCCGATGTACTTTGCTTGAAACTGCGCATTGACTGTGATCCAGTGGTTGTTGCTAGCACAGTGATAGCGGGTAACCGGGCTCCCTGAACTCTATGCCGCAAGCAACCCGAAGTCCTCCAAAGGAAAGTGCTGTTTCCGCTGTCGCAGGCATCCAGCTGAGGTAGTGCCGCGGCCTCAAAGCTGTGCACAGCCACGGAAAGCCCTCACATCTGTCTGAAGACTTGTAGCACTAGCAAAAGCAGAAGTCCGGCACACTTCGGGTGGACCAGGACTGTCAGTACCAAGATATTGCGCACGAGGTCCAATCCTTCTCAAGTTGCCGGGGCACAACGCTGCAGGGGCCGTCTGCGCCATCGGTGCAACACGCAAACCAACGGGAAGGGACCTTCTACGAGCGTCTTTACGGCTGCGTGCGCATCTCCGGTCAGGGTTGCGGTTGAATCTTCCATCGACACCTTAAGGGAAGCTGCACAGCAGTGGCGGTGAATTCCGAAGCTGAGCTGCTGCATGACCAAGATTTGGCACAACCTTGCAGACTCCAGGGTCCTTTCGTCCGGGGTTCAAGGGGTCTAAGGCTTAAGGACAAACTTTAGGGATTTCACCTGAAAAGACCCAAGGTCGCAAGAAGTTCGGGCAACGGCATGATTGAAGCTCCTCGTCTGCGAAATGCACATGAACCTGCCGCCATCACAAGTTGCATCAAGCTGCGCCAGGAAGTGACACAGCTGTCGCAGAATGGAACGAGCCTCTCAACCAACAACAAATAATTCGTAGTGCAAGGGACTCTACGCCACACAAACTCTGTATGTACATACACATACATATATATACTTATATGCATGCATAGATAAAAAAACTGTATGAACTTTGTGAATGAAGAGTAATACTGCATGTACGTATGCTGTAGCTAGTCCCGCCATTGGCACGTTGCTGTTTCTCTATGTCTCTTTCTCTATGTAGGGCGTGAAGGTCCTGTCAAGGACCCCCAAACCTGACAGGCGCACACCGTTTTTTAGGAGGATTTCGGGGCATTCGGGGCGGTCGGAATTTGTGAGTCTGCTGACAGTGTTGAAGCTTCGTCTCTGAAAACCATGGGACCATGCAAGCAATCAATCATCACTTGCACCTCTCTCTCTCTCTTTCTTTCGCCAGGGCTGGGGACAGTAGGGAACCTTCCTGCCCCGCACTCTCTCTTGCTTGCTTGCTTGCTTGCTTGCTTGCTTGCTTGCTTGCTACAGAGTCAAGGCATGCACGAGGGCGGGCCCGGGGTGCTCTGTCCGTCCGTCCAGCGCCACAGTCGGCGTGAAAGTGCTCTCGGGTTTCGTCCTCGGTCATCGGGGTGTTTCCCCACTCTGACACTTTTAACCCTTCCTTCCTAAGTTCCACAGGCGCGCCTAGCCGCCCCCTCATGTTTGGGGGAAGAGGCTCTGGGGTGTTTCGGACGGTTTTCGTCCTCTTTCTCTGTCTCCTTCTCTCGCTCTCTCCAGGACTTGCCGCTCCATGTCCTGGTCTTCGGTCTGTCGGCATTTCGCTCTTTCGTGGGCTTGGACAGTCGCGCTTTGCCGGAAAAGAGGCACGATCCCTCTCGGAAGCGCTCGCCTTCTTTTCGTCTGCTGGCACTGACGTTGACTCAAATTGGACGAGATAGGCTACTTCTGACTCTTGGTCTTGGGTTGGTCGCGTGGCTTTCGAGTCACTGCTGGTGGACGACCTCCTGTGCTGTCTCGTTTCTCGTTCGGTCCTCTTTGCTTGGGCTTTGCGGTCGAAGGGGCCTGTATCCCTTCCCTAGTCGACTTGCTGTTGACTGGCATCCGGCTGTGAGCTGTGGCATGGTCTGTCCGGTTGCTTCAGTCCTTTCGTGGAATGTTGCCAGCCTACCGAAATCTACAGCTCCACATCGTTCCCTCGACCTATGTTGGGGGGAATGATGGCAGACACTGCCTTGGCAGCAAAAGCGACAACAGACCCCCGCCTCGGGCACCAACTCGTCAGCAGCCTGACGAGGGCAGTTGACCAGACCGAGTGACGGTTGTCCGGCTATCTGGCTTTAGGGTTTAAAGGTTTAGGGTTTTGGGTTTAGGGAACCCTAAACCCTCTGGCTCACCAGCCTACCTTGCTCTTTGTTGATCCTATGGATCCCCGACTGCCACACCTACAAGTGGCTAGCATGCCCCGGACCTGGCCGACAGTATTTCCTGGGTTCCCCTAAACCATGCCTTGTTGTCGCTGAACCCATAGCCTTCCATGCGGAGTCGCACGCCTGAAGACCCGACACCAAACTACAGCTCAGCATGCATCCTGCGAGTAGCACACATTAAGGCACTGTTCCCCCGCCTGCCGACATTACACATGGGCGTGCAAGCGACAAAGGGCTAAGCTTCTCACATGTGGCTATGACGATCATCGATGCTCCCAGCACTTGTCTCGCTGCGGGGATGTCTTGGAACAGGTAGACCTGCTCAGGCTTGAACGATCTAACAAGCTCTCTGTCAAGAAACGTGAACTTAAAAATCGCAAGGTCAGGCCCAATCGGTTTCCATAGCTCCGGAATGCCCCGTTTGTCGGGGCGGAGGCGATGCAGATTCAGTTGTTGTTGAGCAGGGCTTGCAATGCACTCACAGCCCATGCATGTCATTCAGTTGCGGTTCCGATGCACTTTCCCACTTGTCTGCAATGCCTGGACAAGGAATGATGTAGGAATCTCCGTGTAGGTGAAGAGTGATGCCTTCGTGACCTCAGTGCCGGAAGCTCGGCTGCTCCACTGAAAAGACTTTCTGCTCGTTGTCATGAGCGCGAAGATTGGCACAACAGCCGTGAAACACATCAATTCCTTTCGCAGTCCACACTCCGCAGATGTCAGGCCGGCGGCAGGAGCCATACGCCAGCCAGCGATGAACTTAGTTTGTGACCGAGCGCTATGCTGCCAAACAGTTCAAGCATTCTCCAGGTGAAGACGCGCACAGTCGTTATTGACTACTCAACCATCACGGCTTGGCCAGGCAGAGCCCTCTGAGGCATTCGCCAAAAAGCTGGCTGTCAACCCCGCCGCGGTGAAGTAGATCACGTAAGAGAAATGCACATGCCTCCAAACCTGGCCACTTCCGACTCCGAGGCCTTTCATGTACTAAAATAAGCGAGAAACCCAGCCCTGCCCGAGACACTCCTTGACATGTTTTGCGGAATGCCGGTCGGTTCTGTAGTCCAGAACAGAGAGTGTGAACAGCACGGTGCACGCGTTCCCCCGAACCTGACACACTTGTTAGGTCTAGTCGGTCTAGTCGCACACGCACATGATACCCCTCCCTCAGTTTCGAGGGTCGTGGACGTAGGGGAAAATCGAAAATGGGCCGATGTCGCACCAAAACGAGGCGAGTGTACACGACGAGCCCAACAATCAAGTGTGGCATTGAGTGCGTCAAGCAAAGCATGTCTCGCCCACACGACGCGCGAGTCCCTGTAAGCGCAGTTGCACTTCGCTCGACGGATATAAACAGAAGCCCCGCCAAAGTGGCAACAACACCAGTGAAGCATGAATAGTTTCTGCGGCGTCTTGGACTTCAAAAGCGGATAACACCTGTCAGAGTAGAGTCAGAACACGAGTGAGAAAAGACAGCGGCACCACGACGGAACAAATGTCACAAGAACCGCAAAATGCTGCGAGCTCCGTTGGGTAGTGTAGAAACCCACGCAAACGATGCAGCCTCCACATCCACCGCAGGCCCACCGGCCATGACAGACAGTGGAATAGTAGCCTTGGCATTCTTTGCCAAACGCACAACCCAGAAAGACTGTTTAACCAACACGGGCATGCACATCTGTCTGCGATGTGGGGTGACCTATCATGACAAGTCGCCAGCGTCGCGAACGCATCCTGGAAAAGCTGGATCTCCAGCGGGTGGATGCCCTGGTGGCAGTACACGCTGAGTAATTCAAAAGCATACATCAGCAAAATCACGGGCTCCCGCGGTCCCACCTCCATCATGCGCACAGCGCACGGACACACCTGGGTCGGACGCAGGTGGGATGGGCGCTTCCAGAAAAGGACAGGCTCAGACAGACATACTACGGGCCGTGGGCTGAAAACCGGAGCTAGGTGCAATGGGATTCCGTCCGGGCACCTCTTGCGATTGAAACTTAGTGAACCTAGAAGCTACGAGTTCAACTCTTGCCGAACTCGCAAGACTTGTCCATCCGAACACGCAAGCGACAGCACCCCTCAACATTGCCCCCTCAGACTATGACGTAGCATCACTGATCACCAAGTGGCTGCATGAAGGCAAGCACTCACCACTGCTACCATGGTCCCCACGAAGTAATCGTTTGACCTGCCATTACAACAAGCAACGAAGGTTGTTGTCTTAGTCGCGACTGAGATCTCTGAACTTATTCTGGTGATCTCACATAGGACTGGCATGTGTCAGGCTCTCGACCTTACCAATTTGATAAGAGAGAGAGAGCTAGCAACAAAAAGCATACCTGACATTGTAAAGCAGTCTTCTTCCACACGTGAAACACTCATTCGAGATTTTTAACACGGTAAGCCAAACATGCAGGGTCACTCAGCGTCCGCTCCACCTTCCTGGGCCAGCAAAACTTCCAGATGTTTGAGCTTCTGCTTACCGTCCGACGCAAACATCAAAAACCATCCAGCTTCTTCTCAATGAGTGTGACTTTGTGTGGAGGGCACAACAGCTGCTCTCGCAAAGTCCGTGCGACTGCCCGAACTCCCACGCCTTCGTTCCTGTCGGGATGATCAGGGCGGTGCCGGTGAGGCACACCTCAGAGGAAGCACATCAGCACTGGACTCGAGTGACAGTTCAAGAACTCTGGAAGCATGGTACATGCGCAATGCCCATATGCGGTCCGGTGGCAATTGCCTGGATAGCGAAGGCCCTTGGCAGGGCACAGAATCAACCGATGTGCATGCGGTGAAAACATGTGCAAACTGTCAACCCGCTGACTGCTAGTGATGAAATACAAAGCTTGTTTTTAGTTTCACCGTCCGAAAGCAAAAGAAGAGACCTTTAGTCATCGAGAGTTCTGAGAAAAAAGCGAGCCCTGCTCAGCGGCCAGAACTTGCGAGCAGCAGTGTTTCCAGCATCACCACCTGTTGCCTTCTGAGGCTCTGCTCGGGTGCTATCTTGAGATGTTCGGGGTTCTCACGAACTTACACCCTGAGAACGGTCCAAGCTGCATCGACAGCTTCTCACGACGAAGGATGAAGCTGGCCAGCCTCGAAGAGGTGCGGAGCCCAAGCGGAGCATTTCGGATTGTGCAGCCTTTTTGAAATGTGTCGTGTCGCACTGGTGCATGTCACCTGCTTCACAAACTCGAAGGGCAGGTCGTGGAAGGGTCACTCTCAGGTGCACGCAGCCCACTGAGCACCGGATTGCTGTAGACAATGCCTGCAGGCAAAACTCAAGGCGGTAAGAACACTCTAGTGGATACAGTTGAAGAGGCTTCTTGGGAACATGTGTATATATGGATGTACGCTTGTACGTCTGTATGGATGGATGTAGGTATATGTGCATGATGTATGCCCGTATGTATGTGCCCCTTCCCACAGCTCCCAAGATCGGCTCGAAGTGCCTGTGGCCACCCCAATAGGAAGTTTCTGCATGGCCGTCCAGCCAAATCCGAGAGCTGCCAAAAAGGCGGTGGACCGAAGTAGCAGCAAGTGCCTTGCGAGGGAACCAAGCGATAGGGCCTGGAGGTTCAGAACTTCGGCTTCGAGGGTTTAGTGAATGAGCGTTGATCCATACTCCTCCTTTTGGAGATGGCATTCTTCGCGGACTTTTGTTTTCCTTTCAAGTTGCTTCTGCACTCACTTTCGCGCGACGTGCTAGTAGTAGTTGTAGTAGTAGTAGTAGTAGTAGTAGTAGCAGTAGCAGTAGCAGTAGCAGTAGCAGTTGGTAGTAGTAGTAGTAGTAGTAGTAGTAGTAGCAGTAGCAGTAGCAGTAGCAGTTAGTAGTAGTAGTAGTAGTAGTAGTAGTAGTAGTAGTAGTAGTAGTTAGTAGTTAGTAGTTAGTAGTTAGTGGTTAGTGGTTAGTAGTTAGTAGTTAGTAGTTAGTAGTTAGTAGTTAGTAGTTAGTAGTTAGTAGTAGTAGTAGTAGTAGTAGTAGTAGTAGTAGTCGTCGTAGTAGTAGTAGTAGTAGCAGCAAGAGGAGTAGTAGT